TTTTTGCACATGAACTAATTTAACTCTGATCCCATTGTCTAATTCCAGCCTCCAGTTCCGCTACTGCCGCCAGTGGAGTGACTTTGTGGGTGGCACTGATGGGGAGACTGAGGAAATCTTCCTGCATGACGATGAGGCCATCATCCAAATCACTGGAAGATACAACAGCTACCTCCAGAATCTTGTGTTCATCACCAACCAAGGGCGCAGCTTTGTTTTTGGAGCCTACAACGGCTATAGCTATCATGGCTATTATGGCTTTACCTTCAATGCTGTTCCACTTTATAGACATGCAGTCTTACGTTACATCAGTGGCCGGGCTGCTTCTTACATAGATGCCTTGAGTTTCCACTGGGGTAAACAGCACAAGAAAGCTAAGAAGTGTAGGAATCCCACAGCGGATCAGAGGAAATGAAACCCAAGTTATTCATTTTCACTGAAAGAGGGGCAAAGCAAGCAAAGGGTGTGCTATATTTGCAGGCAATGCTTCGAGCTTTTGCTATGTGCCACTAATAAGCTATATCAGGGGTGGGCAGATAGTGATATTCCAAAATAGAGGGGAATGGTGGTTTGGCCCATCTGTATGGGGGACACTGGGATGCCTGCCCCAGATTAGATGCATCACCTCAGTAGCTAAGAAGACCTTGTTGCCTAGTCTGCCATTTCTAATGTGTCTTCTTTTATCATGCAACTTTTTCCCACCTCCCCATCCACCAAACCATGCAGTCTTTCTCCACCTTCTTTTCCATCCAGCCACAGCCCATCACTTCTTCCAGCACAATGTAATTCCCTCTTTTCTCAGTCAACTGAATCAACCAACATCTGCCCCAAACTTATTCTGTTTCTTCAGAGCTCTCTCTCTCTCTCTCTCTCTCTCTAAGTGCTGAGCAATAGTTTGTTGGCAAGCAGTATCAACCCAATAAAAGCATATTTGAAACAAACTGCCAGTCATTTCTTTATTGACTATTCACTTTGCAGAAAACTTTACTGTGTGAACAAAGATCTTACCACTCTGGGACTTGAAGAACATCTGTCATTAACTTTGAAGGCTAACTCTATGATTTATGGGGGTATGCTACAGTTCTGGCCCAGCTTACTTAGAATCATAGAATCATAGAATCCTAGAGTTGGAAGAGACCTCATGGGTCATCCAGTCCAACCCCCTGTCCAACCACCCTTGACAGATGGCCATCCAGCCTCTGTTTAAAAGCTTCCAAAGAAGGAGCATCCACCATACTCCGTGGCAGAGAGTTCCACTGCTTGTCCGAACGCATCTCCTTCTACGTCCCACTTTGCAGTTTAAGATCATCCGGGGAGACCTTGCTCTTGCTCCCGCCAGCGTCACAAATACGTCTGGCAGGGACGAGAGACAGGGCCTTCTCGGCTGTAGCCCCCCCACCTGTGGAACTCGCTTCCCAACGAGGTAAGATTGGCTTCATCCCTCCTGAATTTTAGGAAGAAATTGAAGTCATGGTTCCAGGACCAGGATTTTGGACAGAAGACATAAATAGCACTTTGGATATGGAATTCAACTGGAATGGTGATACAGCGGTTAATACTGTTTTTATTGTTTTAATTAATGTTCTATTTATTGTTTTTATTGTTGTTATATTGCTTTGTTATATATAGTGGCATCAAATTGTGCCAAATGTAAGCTGTCCAGAGTCCCCCTTCAGGGGTTGAGAAGGATGGGGTAGAAATACTGGAAATAAATAAAAAATAATTAAAATAAATATTGTAATTGGAATGAAGGCAAATGGAGTAACATTTTTTTTTTTTAAATGCAGAAGTGGTATAAGCTGTCATTCAGTATTCCAGTTACGGATTCGGAACACAGAGGTACAGATATATAACTGCTGCAGATTCAATAAGACTATACAGTCTTACAGTAGGAACACGCACAACTGCTGGCTCTTAAGGTGAATAGGTAAAGGTAAAGGTAGTCCCCTGACATTAAGTCTGACTCTGGGGTGTGGTGCTCATCTCCATTTCTAAGCCGAAGAGCCGGCGTTGTCCGTAGACACCTCCAAGGTCATGTGGCCGGCATGACTGCATGGAGCGCCGTTACCTTCCCGCCGGAGCGGTACCTATTGATCTATTCACGTTTTGCATGTTTTCGAACTGCAAGGTTGGCAGAAGTTAGGGCTGACAGCGGAAGCTCACGCCGCTCCCCGGAATCGAACCTGCAACCTTTCGATCAACAAGCTCAGCAGCTCAGTGCTTTAACCCACTGCGCCACAGGGGGCTCCCTTAAGGTGAATAAGAGAGAGCATTTACTTAGACTTACCATAGGATTAGGGCTGTGGTGGCACAGTGGGTTAAACTACTAAGCTACAGAACTTGCTGATTGGAAGGTTGGTGGTTTGAATCTGCGGATGGAGTGAGCTCCCGTTGTTAGCCCCAGCTTCTGCCAACCTAGCAGTTAAAAAACATGCAAATGTGAGTAGATCAATAGGTATCAATGTATTGTCAAAGGCTTTCATGGCCGGAATCACTGGGTTGTTGTAGGTTTTTTTGGGCTGTATGGCCATAGTCTAGAGGCATTCTCTCCTGATTTTTTGCCTGCATCTAGGGCAAGCATCCTCACTACCTCTGAGGATGCTTGCCATAGATGCAGGTGAAACGTCAGGAAAGAATGCCTCTAGACCATGGCCATATAGCCCGAAAAAACCTACAACAACTCAATAGGTATTGCTTCACCGGGAAGGTAATGGTGCTCCATGCAGTCATGCTGGCCACATGAACTTGGAGATATAATATAATAATTTATTTATTTGATGAGTCATATGGCCATTTCAAAATACAAAATACAACACTACTAAAAGTCAAGGCAAAAAGGTGAGGACAGCAACTGTGCTCTTTTCTTGAGGGCTTTCAGAATAAAAAGGCTTACTCTGATGATGGTGGATCTTTCCTGACCTTGCAAGAAGAATGTCAGAAGATCACTTCTGTTGCAGGACCTGCACATGAACAATATTGGGTGTGAATATCTGTCTCAAAGTTCAGCATATGCTGGGCAGTCAATCAAGAAATGTTTGACATCTTCCACAGCTTGTTCTCCCCAAATGCAGAATCTCTCACTTCTTGGAATGCTACAGTAGCATCCGGTTTGCAATATAATACCAAGTTGTTCAAACCTAGCCCTAGTACAAGGTTTCTCAACCTGGGGGTCGCAAGGGGGGTGTCAGAGGGGTCGCCAAAGACCATCAGAAAACACAGTATTTTCTGTTAGTCATGGGGGTTCTGTGTGGAAAGTTTGGCCCAATTCTATCGTTGGTGGGATTTAGAATGCTCTTTGATTGTAGGTGAACTATACATCCCAGCAACTACAACTCCCAAAAGCCAAGGTCTACTTTTCCCAATCTCCATCTGTGTTCACATTTAGACATATTGAGTATTTGTGTCAAGTCTGGTCCAGATCCATCATGGTTTGAGTCCACAGTGCTCTCTGGATGTAGGTAAACTACAACTCCCAACCTGAAGGTCAATGCTCACCCAACCCTTCTAGTATTTTCTGTTAGTCATGGGAGTTCTGTGTGCCAAGTTTGGTTCAATTCCATCGTCGGTGGAATTCAGAATGCTCTTTGATTGTAGATGAACCATAAATCCAAGCAACAACAACTCCTAAGTGACAAAATCAATCCCCTCCCCAACCCCACTAGTATTCAAATTTGGGTGTATCGGTTATTTGTGCCCACTTTGGTCCAATGAATGAAAATATATCCTGTGTATCAGATATTTCCATTACAATTCATAACAGTAGCAAAATGACAGTTATGAAGTAGCAACGAAAATAATGTATGGTTGGGGGTCACCACCACATGAGGAACTGTCTTAAGGGGCCGCGGTATTAGGAAGGCTGAGAAACACTGCTAGTATATATTCTTCTCAAGGGTAGCAGGAGTGGAATAGTCAGATAGTGTTCTAAATGAATATTCCTTTTGTGAGAAGCTAAAAACCTTGTGGCAGAAGACCAACCCATGAACTTGGAGGTGTCTATGGACAATGCCGGCTCTTTGGCTTAGAAATGGAGATGAGCACCACCCCCCAGAGTCGGACTCGACTAGACTTAATGTCAAGGGGAAATCTTTACCTTTTACTAAAGTATTATGTTAATACCCTCTTGTGCCCATCTTAAGAGCCAACCACAATCAGGTCAAGTGAAGAAGGCTTATTCATCAGCCAATAAGTCTGCAACTATCAGAAGCAGTATTTCTTCTCATGTGGGAGACAAAGCTGAAGAAGGAAGGTTTGAATTTGGAAGGACTAGGTTGTGGAGTTGATCCTAGAATTATTGAACCGGGAGGAGGTTTTAATGCATTTTATTTCACACCTCCATTCCCCAAGTAATGAAGCATCGGCATTTATATAAAGTGGTTAGTGATAGAGAGGAATCTCAAAAAGTGCCTTGCCCTTTGTTTTCTCCTCTCTGCATTTTGGTGTGGTCAGTGTATTCAAGCCTTTTGTTTCTTTATTACTTGGAAAGATCCACCTTCTATCAAGAAGTTAGTCAATTTTCCTTTATGAGGAGCATCCATGAGACTCCAATTCCAACTGCCAATGCTCGCTTATATGCACACATGACAGCCCCCTTGTAGTTTATATCAACTTATTTTTGCCTTTCTCCTTTCCTATCCCAAGTTAGATTTCCTGACACCATAAATGAGAGTTTTCGGTTTTTTACTTCCCAGAGCAGTCAAAGCAAGAATCTTAACTCAGTAGTAGATCCAACTATGCAAATGAGCCCCGAATTATACTGAGCGACCCTTAGTAAATGTCAAATACTGTATTTTCCCTTGCTAAAAGGACACTGGCAGTCACTTTAATAGCTCCATAGGCTTACTGAATACAGATGTATTGGGACCAGTCTAAGGCATTTTACTGCTTGGCAAAACAGTACATGATCTCAACATATGCAGCGCTAAGCTGGTTTATTGTGGGAGGCCACGGTCTCTTTCTATCTCAGACACTTTTTTAAAAATCAATAATAATGAAGTAAATAAAAGAGTTGCTTGGTTTTGCCTATTGTTAGGGCCAGCCTTGCAAGACATAATCAACAGATCTCAAAAAGAACATTGCATATATAGGTAAAAGTAAAGATTTTCCCCTGACATTAAGTCCAGTCGTATCCGACTCTGGGGTATGGTGCTCCTCTCCATTTCTAAGCCAAAGACTCGGCATTGTCCATAGACACCTCCAAGGTCATGTGGTCGGCATGACTGCATGGAGAGCTATTACCTTCCCACTGGAATGATACCTATTGATCTTCTCACATTTGCATGTTTTCGAACTGCTAGGTTGGCAGAAGCTAGGGCTGATAGCGGAAGCTCACGCCGTTCCCTGGATTCGAACCTGAGACCTTTCAGTCAACAAGCTCAGCAGCTCAGCGCTTTTACCCACTGAGCCACTGGGAGCTCCTAATGCATATATTGCATGTGAAAAATGCAACAATATTTTTTGTATAAGTCCAAAACATCATAACACAGTAACAAAATGTATTGCTACAGGAAAACTGACAACAATCCAAGCAAAATGTTAATTGCTAATTACCCAACAATGTATGATTCTGTCCCTTCCCACTCTGTATACAAACAGTTACTATTCGTAGCTGTCAATGTTAATGAATTGATTTTTAAATCCAGCATTGCAGTTTGCCTGCTTTCTTCCTGGGAGAATGTTTTCACAAGAGAAGACTTTAAGGGAAGCCAATACAAATATTTCTGAGGGTAAGGAGATTTCTTTCCCTTCCCTCATTGTTCTCTAAATGGTATTGTGCCACTCAAGATTGCTTGAACTTTTAAAAAATAGTGCCAAAATCGCTTTATACACGTTTTCCAACATTTCACAGATGAACAGTGTGACCATGTATGGCCAAGGAACATCAGGATGGAAAAAGGCATGAATTATAGCCCAAAAGGTAGGAGAGGCTACAGAAGCTTGCTTTTGTCTGTCTAGAGCAGTGGTTCCCAATCTGTGTTCCATGGACCACCAGTGGTCTGCAAGAACTAAAATATGGTACGCAGCCTCACCGTTACTATACCGTTGCAACAATAGCTATTGATCTTGCAAAACCTTCCTATAGTGCTGAGGCAATGGGGATGTCAGGAGGGGAGAGGCTATCCTCCTCCTCCTCCTTCCTCCCCCTGAGCAAAGCCATTCCATATGGCGCCTTTGTATCTTGGTTTTTAGGCCTGTTCCTAGGGTTATTTTGAGTGCTGACTCAGAAAATTGCATTGGATAGACCACATCAGCTCTAGATTATTAAATAGGGTCTTCTGTGAGTAAGCAGATGGCAACTACTGGGTAGCGTATGTTCTGTATCTGAAACTAGAGCTGATGTGGTCTATCTGCAATTTGCTGAATCAGCACCCCAAATAATCATGTTGTTGTTTATTCGCTGAGTCGCTTCCAACTCTTTGTGACCTCATGGACCAGCTCATGCCAGAGCTCCCTGTCGGCCGTCACCACCCCCAGCTCCTTCAAGGTCAAGCCAGTCACTTCAAGGACATCATCCATCTATCTTGTCTTTGGTTGGCCTCTCTTCCCTTTTCCTTCAAATTTCCCCAGCATCATTCTCTTCTCCAAGCTTTCCTGTCTTCTCATTATGTGGCCAAAATACTTCATCGTTGCCCTAATATCCTTCCCTCCAATAAGCATTAGGGCTTTATTTCCTGGAGTATGGATTGGTTTGATCGTCTTGTGGTCCATGGCACTCTCAGAATTTTCCTCTAATGCCACAATTCAAAAGTGTCAATCTTCCTTCACTCAGCCTTTCTTATGGTCCAGCTCTCACATCCATAGGTTACTATGGGGAATGCCATTGCTTTAACTATGGGGACCTTCGTTGCCAGTGTGATGTCTCTACTCTTCACTATTTTATCGAGATTGGTCTTTGCTCTCCTCCCAAGAAGCAAAATAATCATACCAAATCTAAAATTTACCAAAAATGTTTCATAACTCTTTTGGTACTAGTGTGGGAGGGTGGTCCCTGTTCAAGTGGTCCCTAGTCAAGTGATACCTGGCCACAAAACGTTTTTGAACCACTGGTCTACAGGGAAGAGCAACTTTCTGTTCCATACTCAACCTTCCCTGTTTATAATTAAATGGAGTGGAAATCATTTTAATATTTCCACTCCATTGTTTGCAACAATTGAAGCAAACAGATGATAGAGGAGGAAAGTGGGAAGGGAAGCTAGGAACTGGGACCTTTTAATATAACTGGAAAAGTGGAATGGCAGAAGATGAATAGGGATTCCTCTTGCTATATTGGGACAACTGAGATACATATTTTATTTTCTGGCACCACTACACATGGACAACTGATGGAAAATGGACCTTTGAGCTGCTTCACTGTATTGCAATTGCCAAACATAGCTTTACCACAGACAGTTGATTTACTTTTCCTCAGAATTCATAAAGATTTGCCTCCTCATGATGACTGTTATTACCGCAGAGCTTGTTAGAAGCTTTTCGTAACCACAGATATCTGGATATGGTTGCCTGACCACACTTTCAGGGAAGGTGGTTTTATTTCCTTTTTGGAGACCTGGGGCTGGCTCTACACCAGGCATGGGCAAACTTGGGCCCTCCAGATGTTTTGGACTTCAATTCCCACTATTCCTAGCAGCCTCAGGCTGAAGGGGAAAAGGAAGGGGCCTGAGGCTGTTAGGAAAGATGGGAGTTGAAGTCCAAAATATCTGGAGGGCCCAAGTTTGCCCATGCCTGTTTGACACAGTAGAATTAATGCATTTTGGCACTGTTCCAACTGCCGTGGCTGAATATGATGGAATCCTGGAGTTTCTAGTCTTTTTGGTAGAGAAAGCCAAAGACCTTGTAAAACTACAAATCCCAGTGTTGTAGTCATAAAAACAAGAGAAACTGGGATGTTGAGTAAAAAGTAATGAAGTTATTTTGTTGCGCATTGAGCTAGGACAGTATGTTGAACTGCATCAATGCTACAGGATAGATCCACCCCTCTTTCCCCCTCAAATTTCCCCACTTTCAGGCATGTTCCTCCTTGTGGTTCTTGGTGTTTGGGTTCATAAGAAAAGCTTACGCCACTTTGTACATCGCAACAGCAATAAAATCCAAGGATCTCCATCACCTGCTATTGCAGAACACAACAGACCATCCACAGACCTGCTTAGACCACCAAGTAAGTCCAGGGTGGAGGGGGAAGGGATTCTGGCATTCATTTCATCTTAAAGAAGGGGCATTGCTTTCTTTATGATGTGAGTAGAACAGTTCTTTTCCAAATCTGGATATTAGGGTATATCCACACTTGAATACAGTACTCCAACACTATACCCTCCAACACCAAAGTTCTGGAAGAATGCAACCAAAGTGATCAAAGATGTTGGGACAAGGAAATAGTCTGGCATTTGGGGGTTATAGTGTGTGTGTGTGTGTGTGTGTGTGTGTGTGTGATTAAAATAAAGGTGAGGAGAGAGTGGGGCAGGAGGTTGAATATTACTTATTTGGGATTGCAAACTCTGAAATTGTCCAAAATCCAAAAGTGTTCATGGGGGTGGGTAGGTGGGTTGGTAACACTTTTGCTTTGTGATTGTTTCATGCTCAAAATTATTACAAAAACAATGTATGAAGTTATCTTCAATCTATGTATATAAGCTGTATATGAAACATTAATGATTTTTGTATTTAGACTTGGCTCCCATCCTCAAGGTTTCTCATTGTGTACATGCAAGTATTCCAATATCTGGAGAGAGGAAAACCCTGAAATATGGAACCTATCTAGTCCCAAACAGTCTCGTGACTCAAAGCTATGGAATCCTGGGGTCTGTAGTTTGGTGAAGCAACAGCACTCATTGGCAAAGAAAGCTAAAGACTTTGTAAAACTACAACTCCCACAATCCCATTGCATTCCACCATGGTGATTAAAGTGGTGTCAAACTGCATTAATTAGACAGTGTTGATCAAGCATGGGAAAACTTTTGTCACTCCAGGTGTTTTGGACTTCAACTCCCACAATTCCTAACAGCCTCAGGCCCCTTCCTTTTCCCCTTCAGCCACTTAGTAGGGCCAAAGTTTGTCCATGCCTGGTGTAGATGTACCCTCAGACATGTTTTTAGTTTATTCCAAGAGCTCCTTTATAATTATTTTCTTGCATAATTCTTTTTCTAGGATGTTTCGCATCCCATTCTTCATTTTACTGTGTTGGGGAAGTGCTATCAATGCAGGTAATGGTTGTTTTGTTTATTAAATTTATATTCTGGCTTCCATCCATAATCATGCTCGCAATGTGTATATACCACAGTAGCACACCATCTCTTGGAGGAGGTAATTGTTTTAGGTACATGAAACAACGCTACTAATTGAACTCTTTTCTGTCTTATTTCAGCATCTCTTCTACCACTCTGGGATTCTTCCTATTCTGGTGACTATGGTGGGAATGGAGGAAAACGCTTTTCTCATGCTGCAAACCAGCAGGATGGACCCATCACTGCCATTAGGATTCAGATTCATTCAAATTATATTGTGGGGTCAGTATGTGCTTGGACATATAATGAGTAAGATATTGGCTGAAAAATAAATACAGTCAGCTGTCCACATTCGCTGAGGTTGGAGTCACCCCTAAATAAAGGAATTTTACTATTTTCTTCTGTTTCATGCCGCTTGGGAACTAATTCTATTCCCTATTTTGTTCTACCAGTCTTCAGGTACGTTATGGTCGCCATTGGAGTGAGTATTATGGTGGTTCATCCGGTGAGCGGGAGGAGATTTTCCTGCACAAAGGCGAGTCCATCATTCAGGTCACCGGGAGGTACGGTTCCTATGTCCAGAGGCTGGTTTTCATCACTGACCAACGTCGCACCTTCATCTTTGGCAATGATGCAGGCACTACCTTCAACGCAGCTCCGATTTTCAAGGGCACTGTCTTGCGATACTTCACCGGCCGGGCCAGCTCTTACATCAACAGTATTGGTTTCCACTGGGGTGACTACCCCAATAATGTTCCCAATTGTTCAGAGAGGGGGAATCTTTGAGATGCATACAATTTACGGCCTAGATGAGAGATGGGAATCAGAAAGCCCTCCAGATTTTCTTGGATTGCAAGGTACAGCCTTCCTCACCATTGGCGATGCTGCCCAGGAATGCTGAAAGTTGCTGTCCAATAAAATCTGAAGATCTGCATAATTCTTGCTCTAGAATCTATGAAACTGCTGAAAACAAACCTGAGCTTTCTCTTATATTATACCTCCATTACCTCTTTCCTAAGGTAATTTCTGACCTCTAAACCAGTTGTTCCCAACCTTCTTAATGCCACGACCTTGTAATACACGTCCTCATGTTGTAGTGACCGTGAACTATAAAATTATTTTTGTTGCCACTTCATAATTGTAAATTTGCTACTGTTATGAATCATAATGTAAATATATGATATGCAGGTTGTATTTTCATTCGCTGGCCCAAATTTGGCATAAATATATGATATGCCCAAATTTGAATATTGGTGGGGATGGAGAGGGGGTTATGGATTTTGTCATTTGGGAGTTGTAGTTGCTGGGATTTATAGTTCACCTACAATCAAAGAGCATTCTGAACTCCACCAATGATGGAATTGAACTAAATGTGGCACACAGGACTCCCATGACCAACAGAAAATACTGGAAGGGTTTGGTGGGCATTGACCTTGAGTTTCTGGTGTTGTAGTTCACCTACATCCGGAGAACACTGTGGATTCAAACAATGATGGATCTCAACCAAACTTGGCACAGATACTCAATACGCCCAAATGTGAACACTGGTGGAGTTTGGGGGAAAATAGACCTTGACATTTGGGAGTTGTAGTTGCTGGGATTTATAGTTCACCTACAATCAAAGAGCATTCTGAACCCCATCAATGATAGAATTGGGCCAAACTTCCCACACAGAACCCCCATGACCAACAGAAAACATTGTATATTCTGATGGTCTTTGGCGGCCCCTCTGTCACCCCCCCCCCCCCCCGGGGTCCCGACCCCAGGTTGGGAAACGCTGCTAACCTCACCCACCCATTCTCTATTGATCCACTTTTAGCATTTGTGGATTAGATGGGCAAATTGAGATGCTCCAAAAAGAATGGTTTTAATTGAACTTCCACCAGACCTAGTTTAGTTTATAGTGAAGAATAATGGGAGTGTCAATCCAAACATCCATGTTGGATATCCTACGTTAGCCAAAAAGTCTTCTTTGTCTACCCAAATGTTTCCATCCTCCACATCAATCAACCATCTTAATTCCATCTTCCCATTTCCCCAATCCTTCTCCATTTGCTCAAACCGTATCTCACCACTTCTTACAACACCAATGTATTCTTCCCTTCATGCCTCAGACTTTTTTCCTCTCTTCATGTGTTGAGAAAAAAATACATTTGGCAGGCAGTATTATTCACCCAATAAAAGCACTTTTGAAACAAGTTATTGAGCATTTCTTTCATGTCTGTTGATCTTAGAGAATAGCAGCATAATGTGAACAGCGATCCGACCTCATTGTTGCATGGAAGGTGACCTACTGAGTCCTTTCAAGAGCCCTAACCTTTTTTTGTCCCATATCATGGTCATGTTTGTGCTGGTCTGGACATGGAAATGTGTGTGTTTAGCTGCAGGACCAAACCATTCTCTCTACAATTAATATTCTCTTGCTGGGTACCACATTTTCTCTCAATTCACACCATAGTATTGTTGCCTAGTTGAGGCACTGGTAGATTGGATGACCTCGAGGATCTGTCCCAAGTCATTAAATCTAAGACCAGGGCTTTAGCAGCCCTTAATAACCCCGCTTTGGCCAACATCTTCATTTTCATTAGGGAAATTAGGAAAATGTAATATATTGCCATAGCAACAGAATAATTGGCAGATTGCTCATAATAGCTGGTCCACTGAAGTGAGCAACTCTTTGAATCTGCAGAAGATGTGATCAAAGAGTGCGTAGGAAAAGGACAATGCCTGACTGCATGCGTGTGCGTGTGTGTGTGTTTGTGTGTGCGCGCCTTCAAGGTGTCTGTCAACTTATGGTGACCCTATGGATTTCTAGGGCTTCTTAAGGCAAATTATATTCAAAAGTGGTTTGCCAGTTCCTTCCTCTGAAATACAGCCTAAAACGCAGGACATTCATTGGCAGTCTCCCATCTCAGTACTAACTAGGATTTAGCTTCTAGGATTAGACAGCATATAATGCCTTGGGGTATTTAAGCTATGGCAGATTCCCATTTGAGTTACTGGACTACACTGAGTTGCTGTGAGTTTCCCGAGCAGTATGGCCATGTTCCAGAAGCATTCTCTTCTGATGTCTTGCCTACATCTATGGCAGGCATCCTCAGAGGTTGTGAAGTCTGTTGGAAACAAGGCAAGTGAGGTTTATATATCTGTGGAATGTCCAGGGTGGGAAAAAGAACTCTTGTCTATTTGGGGCAGGTGTGAATGTTGCAATGGATCAGCTTGATTCACACTGAATAACTTTGCAGTTTCAAAGCCTGGCTGCTTCCTGCCCAGGAGACTCCATTGTTGGGAGGTGTTAGCTGGCCCTGATTGTTTCTTGTCTGGAATTCCCCTGTTTTCTGAGTGTTGGTTACTGTCCTGATTTTAGAGATTTTTTAAATACTGGTAGCCAGATTTTGTTCATTTTCATGCTTTCCTCCTTTCTGTTGAAATTGTCCCCATGCTTGTGGATTTCAGTGGCTTCTCTGTGTAGTCTGACATGGTGGTTGTTAGAGTGGTCTGGCATTTCTGTGTTCTCAAATAATATGCTGTGTCCAGGTTGGTTCATCAGGTGCTCTGCTATGGCTGACTTCTCAGGCTGAGTTAGTCTGCAGTGCCTTTCATGTTCCTTGATTCGTGTCTGGGCAATGCTGCTGCGTTTGGTGATCCCTATGTAGACTTGTCCACAGCTGCATGGTATACGGTAGACTCCTGCAGAGGTGAAAGGATCCCTCTTGTCCTTTGCTGAACGTAGCATTTGTTGGATTTTCTTAGTGGGTCTGTAGATAGTTTGTAGATTGTGTTTCTTCATCAGCTTCCCTATGCAGTCAGTGGTTCCCTTGATGTATGGTAAGAACATTTTTCCTCTGGGTGGAGCTTTGTCTTTACTTTATTAGAATACAGTTAGAGCAAAAAGCTGAACTCTGAACAAACAAATCCATTGATCAAGGGAGGAAGATTGTGTGGAGCCAAGCCTTGTCCCAGAGGTGCCTGTTTGATGGTTTTTCCTCTCCTTCTGTTTTCCTCTCTGCCAGAGAAGATGCTAGGACTTACTGCCATACCACCTACACTATGCTTGCAGTCCCAAATGTGAGCTAGCTGTCTGATGGAGGAGGATAGCAAGCAAAAGAGCAGTAAATCATAGCCAGGAGTAGGGGCTGCTACCAACACAGTCATCTGCTCTCTCCTTCCCTGTAGCCAAACTACAATTCCCAGGATTTCATAGCATTGACCCATGCCATTTATAGTGCTGTCAAGTGTCAAACCGCATTAATCCTACAGTACTGCAGGACAGGTTTTCAATAACAAGACCTGTAGTTTATGGTGTCAGCCTTTAGATGGAGACCTTTGGCCACAAGAAGGCAAGTGTCATGGGAAGATTAATGTGATGGCCACATTTTTTTTCTCCTTTCTTTCATGGAAGATAAAATTGGGTGGCCTCAAGGATGCTTGGGTTATATTTGGAAGTGGAGATGAGTTTGGTGGTAATAAGCAGGAAGCAAAAAGAACCATATATCCTGATTATCTAAGAACCAAGAGTGCATATGGGATAAAATCACAGAATCCTAGAGTTGGAAAAGACCTCAAGAGTCATCCAATCCAACCCCATTCTGCCATACACTCAAAACACCCCTGACAGATGGCCATCCAGCCTCTCCGGGTATAAATCAGTTAACAAAGCCTCTGCTAAAGAGGTAGAGTCAGTGCTCCACATTTGCAGTTTGAAACCAATTTAACTACCATGGCTCAATCCCATGGAATTATGGGGGAGGGGGGTGGTGGTAGTTTTACAAGGTCTTCTCTGCCATGGAGTGCTGGTGCATGTTAGGGCATGTAAAAATCAGTTGGTGAGTGTGTGTTAACTGAAAATGCAAAGCATGAAGCTGATTGGTTGGGCTAGACCCAAGAGACTAGCTGAGCCTGGGAGTTTTGGCAACAGTTACATATTCAGGAGCTTGCAGGGACAGATTTGCTTCTGGCCTGGAAGAAGGTATTTTACATGGACACCTAGGGTCATTTTAAATCTCTCTCAAAGGTCATTGCGTAAGTCAATGCAACTGTTCACATGATTGTATATATGTTGCTCTGCATAACAAAGAATAAACTCCTTGTTCTTTATTGATAACCTGTGTGGCATATCTTTTCTCTGGCAAGTCAGTGTGTGGACTGGTGAAACATGAATTATGTATGATTTCCATTTTGCTACAGTGCAGATTTCATCTCACACACCACAAGGTAGGTCTGAACTTATTCAGGGTGTATCTGAATAAGGCAGAACTTAAGATCCAACTAAATTATAAAAGAAATAGACAAATGCCTTCTTGTAATGGCAAGAGTATTGAACCAATAAACATATGATGGCTTTGACATTAATTAGAATGTCTTTGCTGATGTATTGGATATGACTAAGTGAGATTTCACGCCCCATAACCTGCTCAATAGTTTGTATACAGCAGGTAAAGGGGAGCTAGATGATTCAACAGATTTGTTATTACGTTGTTGACTATATTGGAAATGGAGCCGAATTTAATAAACCCTAAATTATTTTTTGTTTCTTATACACGTTACACACATAGCTTGAAGATCATTTGATACACAATAGCATTAAGTATTTGATGCTTGAAACAAAGTTTGAATCATCACAAAGCAAAGGTAGCTACCGTATAGATCAGTCATGGGCAAACTTGGGCCCTCCACGTATTTTGGACTTCAACTCCCACAATTCCTAACAGCCTCAGTTTAAGTAGCTGAGGAAGAAAAGGAAAGGGCCTGAGGCTGTTAGGAATTGTGGGCATTGAAGCCTGTGACAGTGGTGGGAGTGGAGCAGGG